TTAAGTGTGCGGACCCTACGGTTCGAGAACAATGTAGACATGACCGAGACATGTCTCCGGTCAATAACCAATAGCGGGACCTAGATGCCCATATTGGTTCCTACATATTCTACGAAGATCTTTATCAGTCAGACCGCATAACAACATATGTTATTCCCTTTGTCATCGGTATGTTACTTGCCTGAGATTCGATCGTCGGTATCCAATACCTAGTTCAATCTCGTTACCGGCAAGTCTCTTTACTCGTTCCGTAATACATCATCTCGCAAATAACTCATTAGTTGCAATGCTTGCAAGGCTTAAGTGATGTGCATTACCGAGAGGGCCCAGAGATACCTCCGACATTCGGAGTGACAAATCCTAATCTCGAAATACGCCAACCCAACAAGTACCTTTGGAGACACCTGTAGAGAACCTTTATAATCACCCAGTTATGTTGTGACGTTTGGTAGCACACAAAGTGTTCCTCCGGTAAACGGGGGTTGCATAATCTCATAGTCATAGGAACATGTATAAGTCATGAAGAAAGCAATAGCAACATACTAAACGATCGGGTGCTAAGCTAACGGAATTGGTCATGTCAATCAGATCATTCAACTAATGATGTGATCTCGTTAATCAAATAACAACTCTTTATTCATGGTTAGGAAACATAACCATCTTTGATTAACAAGCTAGTCAAGTAGAGGCATACTAGTGACACTCTGTTTGTCTATATATTCACACATGTATTATGTTTCCGGTTAATACAATTCTAGCATGAATAATAAACATTTATCATGATATAAGGAAATAAATAATAACTTTATTATTGCCTCTAGGGCATATTTCCTTCAGTTCCTCCCCTTCTTACTCTTTTTTTTAAGGTATGAGCCTTCACCTCTGCATGCAGCTCCCCCTTTAAATCACTCTTTCCACCTCTCGCGGCGTCTATTGCTCCTCTCTCTACCCCTGCAGAAGGGCCCCCCTGCTTGTTTGGGACTGCCTTGTTTGTGGCTGCACTCACTGATCCTTCCGCTTCCTCCAAAGCGCCAAAACTCAGACATTTTTTGCTCTTATCCCCACTCTTTTCCTTATTTTGCTCGCTCGCTGGCAGTGTGATATTTAGAGGGCTTGTAACTTTAGTTTCGATCGTGCTCTTCTTTTCCCTGTCTCCCCCACTTCCACTTGATTTCTTCCAGGAATCCACATCACTCCTAGACCTCCCCTCGCTATTCAGCCATCCATACCTCCTGCCTGAACTGCCACCACTGTTTTCTCTCCAGTTTGTTCTTCCTGCCTCATTGACATGAGCTCTTTCCGACACATACTTCAGCCATCTTCCAAACTCAGCTTTCTGGCCCTTTCTCAGCCTGTTGCCGCACTCTCTGTCCACATGACCAAGCCTCCCACAAGTATAGCAGAAATCAGGCAAATATTCATACTCAAAATGGCACCAGAACCTCCCTTCCTCATCCTTTTTCGATCTCTCTCCATCGGTCATGCCTACCTCCATGTCACTCCCTGCTTCCCCCTCCTCCGGTTCCACATCCAGGTACAGTCCCCTCATGAGAGGTTCAGAGACTTTGATCTTCACTTTTACCCTCAAGCATTTATCCAATGCCGTCCCATCCTCGCCAGCATCAACCTCCATCAATTTACCTATTTCTTCCCCCAAGTCTTCCCCCACCTCCCGACACATCATTCCCAGCGGAACATTGTAGATTCTCACCCAGATCGGCACCGTGTCGAAAGTGTAATCCTCTATTGTTTTGCGAGGATCGAAGTCTTCCATAACGAGCAGCTCCTTGCCAAAGGTCCATGGGCCATTATCCACTGCTTTTCTCTTCCCCGCCTCCTGATGAAAAAGGAACAAGAATCGGTTCTCTCCCATCTCCTTCACCTCCAGCCTCTTCAGCGGGCACCAAATCTTGCCTAGCGCCAGCTCCATACCTCCTACATGTCCTAGTTTATCAGAGAACAACTTCCCCATTGCTTTAGCCACACTCCCCTTCTGCTCCGCCGCTCTCCTCCATCCGATTTTCACACCCCTCCTCTCAGCCTCTGAGAGATTCATGCGCTTCAACTTGTCTTCAACGCTGTCCATGGCTCCTGACCAACCTCGTGCTCCCCACACCTTGGAGATGGAAGGAAACGAACTATCCTGGAGGAACTAAGGGATGGTGGGGGTGTACGCTCGTGTGCACCGACACCCGGAGGCTGATCGGGGGTGGGGGGAGAAGAGAACAGCAAGGGGACAACCACCGCGGGGGGAGATAGGAGAGGATCGGAGGGGGGGGCGACCAGATCGACCCGCCGCCGGCGAGAGGAGTCGCCAGGGGCGAGGAAAAACTAATCGCTCTGCTTGTCGCCAACAGGGACCCCACCGTCACACAGGGGACGGGCCGTAACTTTAGTTTCAGGAGTTTCTAGTCTTGTGTGGAAGTGATCTCGGCCGGTTTGTGGACGTGGGGAATAGGTGTTGGTCGGTATTTATAGGTGGCATCGCTTCAGTAGGTTTTTGGGGCAATATCGCTGCGGGATGCGCCGAAGTTGACGAAACTCGCTTCAGATGTAAGCAAAGTAAAAAAGTAGTAGTACTCCGTGGTGTCAACCGTGGTTTTCCCTGTTGTCGGCCGCGTCGCACAAGGGTGTTGACAGCAACGGCGGCGTCTCATGCCGAAGAATTTTAATACGCGCAGAATATGCGTAGGTGCGACGGCATGGAAACATTGACACTTAGGACATCTTCAACAGTTTATATATTAGCTTGTTGGTAAAACATGACATGTCATCAACCAACATCTTAACATACAACAATTTTAATGGATGTATCTAGTTTACCCAATAGGATGTGAAATAGTAAATAAGGTGCTCTCTCATTCAACATTGGAGCTTGTGCAAGGGGTGTTGGTTCGTGTATATACAACCTTCCTCTTTTCCCTCATTTATTATATGACACATCATCAAAAATCCTATGTGGCAAAGTCTACCAACAACTATCTTACAACCGTTGGAGATGCCCTTATCGGTCATCGGTCAAAAGAGTAACGACGGCTGACGTCGTAGTCGGCGTATGCGCACCGTACGCCTAGCTCAAGGCCCCTATTTTTCCTCCTCACACGGTTTACAAGTTTGCTGCAGCTGTTGGATCTGGAACCTGCAAGCAGCTCCAAAGCTGACCGTCCGTGTATCGGTGGGACCAGTTCACCGATAGTGAAGCGGGAGGCGGCCATCAAAACATGTCCATATTCATTTTAAAACAAATTTGAACAAACTTGAAGAATTTTACCAAACATGACGGATTTCAACATAATTTTGGATATAATAATTTGCATAAATGGATGTTATTTTGACCGTTTAACTAAAAATAAAAATAAAAACACCCTAGGTGTCTAACTTGTAGCATACGACAACGTCATACACTTGGCCGCCCTTACAGCCGCACCGTCATCACCGTCCTTCCGGCGGTGGAAAGACTCGGGCCGCAACAGCCTTGCCAGCTCGCCGCTTGGCCCTCGCGGAGGAGTCGTTTCGCTTCCTCCTGCACCGTGCGGAGGGCCTCCGTTGCCAATACCGACCCGGCTCGCGGGGTCCCTGGCGGCGGCCTTGGCCCTGCCGGCATTGGCGGAGGTGCCGCTTAGCGCCAGTCCTTGCCAATCTTGGCGAGCTCCCCGTCGAGGCAGCGGCTCCGACTGCGCCTGTCGTAACGCCGACACCGGCTACGGCTCCAGCTGCTCCTTCACCATGGCGGCGTTGAAATGCGTCTACGCCTGCTCCATGGTCAAGCCAGCATGGAACGACACGGGCAAGGACGCCAAGTCGTTGTCGGAGGCTGTCTTCATCGTCAAGTCATCGCCGGAGACCTCCAGGGAGCTGGCCCACAGGCCAGCCTCTGTCCGCTTCGCACAGCGGCCCTGGGAGCCGTCCACAAGGGCAGTCAACTCATCCTTCTACTTCATTGAGAAGCTCTCCTACAATGCGCTAGAGCTTGTGGTCATGGCGGGAGGTGGTGCATAGAGGAGGATGTGAAGCAAAACGAGGTGTAGTGCGGTTTTTGCCGGGCGTGGCCTCATTTAAATAGCGGATGCCAGCCAGGGCAAGAAGCGGGTGTGTTAATACGGACGCCGAAGTTGGTTTCTCTGCCTGCATCTATGTTTAATGACGTTGGCGAATGGCGGCGACCCATTTAAATGCGGCAAATATCAGTCCCGTCTTGTCACATCTCTTCGGTATTGAACAGGTGTGGGCACTGGCACGCGGCATGGGCGATGCTCTCGGCGGCCGCACCGGTTCAATGTCGGCATCAGTGAGAGGTTGCGTCCGCTCTGTGCCGGCATGAATGCAGCGCTGACACTCTAAAGCGGCGCTGCGTGGCAACTGCTTCGCTTGAGAATGTGCGCGAGCAAGGGAGAGAGTTTTGGATGGGTCACACGTGACAACAATCCGAATGTTCATAAAGCCCCTTGGTTTACCTTCATTTGCAGGAAAACGGACATCCAGACCGGGCTGCAAACTGATGGGATATCGCATTGAATGATAAAATGGGTCCCAACACATTCAGACGATTTGAGAGTGAGTGTTGGAGACCCCCTTTGGCAGAAACGTGATGGTTCTAACTAATTATCTAGAGGTCGTTATTTCATCATATGCCCGACATTTTACTCGTATGAAAATAGTACATAAACACATTGGTGAGAAAATTGTTAACGGGTAGCTGCTTTGCTAGCTGGCAAGTAGAGGATTAATAGGCTAATCGGTAAATTAATCGATCAAATAAGCGATTTAATCGGATGATTTATCAGTTTTTATCGGCTACTCGATGACTCTACTTGGATCAATTCTTAAACAGTGATAAATGTCTCTGTAAATAAATACACAATTAGGTAGATATAGCTGAATGCCATTGAGGCTTCAGCATTAATACTCACTTCTCGTTTTGAAAATAAAACAAAAACATTATCCTCACTCTCTTAATGCCTGGTTCACTCTGTAACATACACTAGTACAAACAGAATCGGTCAGGCAGCTCTGGCCAGCTCCCGGTCCACGGCCACCTTGAGAAAGCTCCCCTCCTCGACCACCATCTGCACTGGCATGAATCCGAGCCCGTTGGCCACGGCGAGCATGACCTCCTTCATCTCCGCCCGGAACTCTTGCCGGTCCACCGCGCCGTTGCCGTCACGGTCAAAGCGCGCGAACAGACCGCGGTAGAGCTTTGCGAGCTCGTCGGGACCAACGGCACCGGCCTCGTCGATCCCGAAGTGCTTCTCGAGGACCCGGAGGCTCATGATCTCCCGGGCCATCTCGGGGTAGGAGAGGAGGCCGTCGTGGTCGGCGTCGAGCGCAGCGAAGCGGCCGTCGACGGAGTCGTTGAAGGCGCCCTCGTCCTCTACGAAGCTCTGCACCGTCCTCCCGTCCAGGATCTCCACGCTCATCTTCAGAAGCTCTCTGTGCCTACAGACGCTAAGTTTCAGAAGTTTTTGCGTCGTGTGTTGTGTGATGTGATCTCTGTTGGTTTGAGGAAATGTAAAGATGTGTTGGCACCTATTTATATCTGGCGCACTGCGGGAACGTGTTGGGTTCATGCTGATAACTGTGGTGTTCGCTGGTGTCGCCGTGTCGCACCACGGATTTGACAGCAACGGCGGCGGCGAGTTTTAATACGCGGGGACGGCGTGGACGGCGGTGCGCGCGCTCTGGAAAGCTCGCGAAGCAAAAGGCCGTGCTGCGTTGACTGCTAAAGCGAGACCGCTCGTTCAAAGAGTGGCGACGTGGTGCTCGTCGCACGCACGCGCACCGGGCGCCCATAGAGCCTGAACACCCCCTGTTGTTTTCTTCCACCGACGGCAGCAACTGGGTTTGGATGGTACGCGTGTTCAACAGACGCCTTACCACTTGATTAACAAATGTACCTCACGCTTCTGCCAGGATGGTTTTGTACCGACATTGCGATACCACGCTGGCCACCGGTTTCTATCGTCCATTAGTGGCTATAATTTGGAGAATCTTCTCCTCTCGTTTCTGTGCTTTGGAGCATCTCGAGCCGATTCCCTAAAAGCATAGAGGAGGAAACATAGAGTTAGCTATAGTGGAGTAAATTTGGTCGGATCTAGGCGAACTCTTAAATTTAATGGAGCAAGTTTTTATTTTTGTCAAATTCTTTTCATTTTCGGCCACCGAAATAAACTTGACTATATATTAGCACACATATAAAAACCAAACATAATAAATAAGTTCCACACAATTTATGAATATTACAGATTCATAGTTTACAAATTAAATTATTCAAATTCAAACACAGCGAATGATTCAAATGAAGTACATAGGATGATAAAATCACAACTACGAAGTGTTATGGAGATGTCATTGATGCTTAACAAATCATGTTGGAGCTGGTTATGAAATTCTAGGTTCTCGATCCTCGGATGCGCTTCAAGTAGTGCCTGAATCTTATTTGGATCGTGCTCTCGCTCAACCGGATCCCCATTGGTAATGTACCGAATGTTCTCAGGCGGTTCACTCTCATCTTCAATGATCATGTTATGCAAGATGATACAACAAGTCATGATTTGCCATAGAACCTTAGAGTTCCAATACTCGGCAGGGTCATAAATGATTGCAAAGCGCTTTCTGATTTGGTGAGGTATGCGGTTGCCGGGGCGGCGGCCCCGGATTTGGTGGTGGCAGCTTCAGCCAGAGGGCGGTGAGTGTCTGGATGTGGCGGATCAAGGGATCCCCTGGCCAGATCGGAGTCAAACGGCAGGCGGACCCAGGTTCTGGCAGCGCTGCGGCTGCTGTCCTGGTGGTCGTGCAGGACGGCCTCAGCAAGGGCAGGCACTGGAGGGAGGTGCTCTGCGAGGTTTGGTGGATAGCGGTTCGTGGCCGGCCGGTTCGGGCAGTTGGTGGTCGAGCTTCACCAGGATAAATCCTATCTCCGGCTTTGCTGGATACGACGACGGCGACGCCCGCGGGCGTCGTGCTCTTTCTTGGAAGCTTCGCTGATGTGTGCTGCTCCTCCCCTCCTCCCCGTGGCCTTGGCTCCGAAGGGAAACCTCAGATCTGCAAGATTGGGCGATGAAGGCGTCTTCACGTCTTCTACCTCCTTGAGGGCATCGTCTCAGAGCCGGCTACAATTGGAGATTTCTTGGGCGGTGGACAGCGGCATCTTCGTCGCGTGGTTTGCTGAGGCGGCCGTTTCAGGGGCGCTGATTTCTGTTTGGTAATGATGATGGCGTCGTGAGGAGCATGGGTCGCGACTCGGGCTTCGGTAGTCGGGTCTTCCCGGCATGTCCGAGGTGCTCTTCAGTGGGTTGCTTGGTTGCTTTGAAGTCGGAGCTACCGTGGAGAGTCCAAGTGGCGACGATGACAGGTGCTCGTTGGTCGTTTGCGGCGGGCACAGTCGGCGCAAGTCCTGCCTCAGGCGATGCTCGTCATCAAAGTCGGAGCTGTTAGTTGTTTGTGCGTGTGGTCATCTGTTGGCATGTGCCGTCGTGTCTTCTATTGCACGTCGGTGGCCAGGCTGGCCGGTGGTGCCCATGAATTTGTGGGTTGGATGTATCGGTTTTAGCCCGGTTTTCCGCCAATTAACTGGGCAATCCTCACTTCTTCTTAATCAATGAAAATGGCAAGTCATTTGCCTTGTTTCAAAAATAATAATTGCAAAGCGCTTCTGAAGCACACCAAAAGCTCTCTCCACATCCTTTCTACTCCCTCTGTTCCTAAATATAAGCATTTTTAAAGATTCCAATACAAACTATATACGGAGCAAAATGAATGAATCTACATTGTAAAATATGTATATATACATCCATATGTAGTCCTCGTTAAAATATCTGAAAAGGCTTATATTTAGAAACGAAGGGAGTAGTATACTCTTGACGTGTCGCAAAGTGACAACTTTTGTTACCTTTTGGTCCAAAATTGTTTTGATAAATGTGGTCCATAGAGGATAGATGTCATACGCAAGATAGTACCCCATCATGTACTCATGACCATTCCCTGTATAGTTGCAAAAGGAAGCATCTCTCCCAACAAGCCTAGCAAACAATGGTGATCTCGAAAGCACATTAAATTAATTGTGTGAGTTAGGCAATCCAAAAAATGAATGTAAAATTCATAGATTCTCCGATGCAACGACCTCAAAAATGATCGTGTGATTGTTGTTGTGGCCTTTGTACGAACCTTTCCACCTTGCAGGACAATTCTTTCAGGTCCAGTGCATACAGTTAATTGATCCAAGCATCCCTAGTCATCCTCTTGCTTCACTCTCTGTCGTAAGCCTCTGGATGTCTTGCTCGTTCGGTGCCCTCAAGTACTCCGGCCCAAAGATATTAATCACTGATGTTGGAGATGCCATTGATGGCCTAGCTGGATTATCTTCTTGTGCCAGCGCCACCACCATTTTTCATTCTTAGGAAGATGGACCCACTTCTGGTTTTTTCTTATAACAGCTTCCGATGAGTTTTTTTTCTTTTTATTTTTTATTTTTGTTGTTGGTTTTATTTGATCCCTTAATTTTCAAAAATAAAAATATTCTAAAATTTCATGAACCTTTGAATATTTTATAAATTCATTAATGTGTTTTAAATCACTTTTGAATACAAATATATTTCAAATTTCATGCATATCTTAGATTTTTGTGAATATTTTTAAAAATCATGAATCTATTTTTAGTCCACAAATAATCTAAATTTATGATCATTTCTAAATTCATAAACATTGCTCTAAATTTTTGTGAACATTTTCTGAATTCTGGATGCATGTTGAATTTTTGTAACTATCGAGCGGCATACAAATACAAATTGTAGGCGACCAAGCGAGTACACTAATTTGGACCTAACATCTAAGAAAAACAAAGTAACTGTTATGACTAAGAATTACAATGAAATCTCTTGAAAACACTTTCTTCAAGGCGTCAATCTGTGTTCGAAGAAATACTCCAAAGACTTTGATAAAGAGGCTGCAATTAGGCTGGAGCAACGATGTTGTCACTCCTTCACCCGTACGAACATTACCAATAATGGTTCTTGAAAGCGTCTTGAGTCGCCCATCCAAAAAGATGGGAAGCCTTGATCAACGAACATACTTGGGCTAGGGATGATCCCCTAGAAGTGAAGGCCGTATAATCACTATATATTCGTCACGGTGTCGATGAGAGATTTCACCTCCACAAAGAATCAGAACAACAAAAATGGCTTGACACAGCAACATAAACTCCTCAGATCTAAATAATCGGATATGCGAGAACAGAAAACTCTCTAATCTCATGGCACCACCAAAAGAACGAGAGAAAATTTATTATCACAAAACTATAATGATCACTAG